GGGGGGGAAATCAGTTTTTATAAACCAGACTGAACGTTTAGAAAACTGGACATCAAGGTAGATGTTACAGTGTTTCAGATCCTTGCAAACTCAAGGGGTTCAAGCTGCCCACATCCTTACTCCTTGAGCTAGCTGGATGTCAAAATAAATCATGGTTTATTACAGGGTAGCAAAGTACAACCTTCAGGATGTGGCTCAGCGTCCTCCTACTTGTCCTTTCCTGGCAAAAAGGGGGAAATACTTTCTAGAAAGGCCACCCTATCCTATCTGATATTTTTTTAAAAATCAATTTTTTAAAACTAGAAAAGGACTTCCATCCAGTTCTGGTTCTGTTCTTTGTCAATTTTGGCAATCTATGTTACAACCAGAGAGCCCCTAAGGCAGAAAACTAGCCCTTAGTGCTGGCCCTTGGCTGGTTTACTGAAATCAAAATAAGCCACAGCAAGAATCAACTTGACAATATATTGACAAGGGCATAGAATTAAAAGTGAATGACTGGGAAATAATCAAACTTGTATGAGTCCTAATACAATTTTCACTATATTTGTTGTTGTTGTTGATAACACATTATTATAAAACAAATTATTTCTGGAGACCAGGGTTTGAATCCCATTTAGCCATGGAAACCCATTGGATGACCTCGGAAACCCATTGGGTGACCACACTCTCTCAGCCTTAGAGAGGAAGGCAAAAGTCAAAGCCCCTCTGAACAAATATTGCCAAGAAACCCCTGTAATAGGTTTGTCTTAGGGTTGCCATAAATTGGAAATAACTTGAAAGCACACAACAACAATTTAGTCCACTGACTTCCATGAGATGTGACTAGCATTCAACATCTTTGTATTGTTGGTGTCTTCATTCACAAAATGAGCTTCAGATTGGTCAAATCTGTATGATTTCAGAGATAATCACCAACATATAAGAACACTGCCATTTAAATCTATTTGAGATTATTATGCAATTCTTTAACCATCCATGCCCCATGCTCAAGTTTCTATTTAAACTGGAAAACTTACCCAGTGGGTTGCAAAATCACTAAGGGGCTATGCAGATGGGCGGCTTTGGGCCGCCCCTGCTAGCCATGGATCAGGGCTGCGGCACCTGCACGCCGCAGCCCCAATCCTCTCTTTTGCCACCCCTGAAAGAGTGACAAAATGCCGCTTTCAGGGGCGGCAAAAGGCCACCCTAAGAGCTGCCGTACAGCTCTTTAGTGCCCTTTCCGGCACAGCGTGTCAAAACGCTGCGCTGGAAGGTCGTCCTGACGCCACACGCCATGCATAATGGCGTGTGGTATCAGGACAGTGTTGGCGTGAGGTTGAGGCGACTGGTGTGCGGCTGCCCCACCCCATCTCTGCCTCCCTTTGGACTGGTCTGCAGAGGCCCTAAGATGAAATCAGTGGAGGGCAGATAATTAAATAATAAATTACTGTTTTATTCTCCATTTATTTCACAGCAGCTGTTTGTTAAGGGTTTGCGACATGGTTCCAAATCACATGATATAGCAGCCACACTGAAGTTAAGCTGGCCTGGGTATGTCCAACCTTGGACACACCTAGAAACCTATTTATACTGCTTTAGGTTTAAGGGAAGAAAAACACAGTAATCTGCAAGTAGCATCTAATTTTGATTACCATATATACTTGACTATAAATCAACCTCATGTATAAGTTGAGGGCAGGTTTCGGGGCCAAAATTATGGATTTTGATATAACCGATGGATAAGTCATTGGTAAAACCTAGAGGCATATAATGAAGGATGCAAAGGGAAACAATGCCGAAGAACTTACAAAATTCCAGCAGGGATAACTGTTTGTGCTCATTCTAAAGGCTGGATGGATGAGAGAGTCAGTGCTTCTGGGCAGATAGCCTTTCACCAGGGGATGGTTTTGTTTGTGTATGTATGATTTAAAGTATAGTACTTACATTGACCCGTGGATAAGTTGAGTCAGGCCCTGTACAGACCAGCCACAAGGGCTGGCCTGGGGACGGAGCGGGGGTGTGGCGATCGCACGCCAGCCACCTCAACTCTGCTCCCATGTTGTTCTCATGCTGCTCATGCAAAAGACAGTGTGCAGCATCAGGGCACTCCCTTGGTGCAGTGTTCATACGTGATACACCAAAGGAACACTGAAAAGCCACCGCCACCATGGCAAGGGCAGCTTTTTGTAGCTCTAAGAAGGAGAGGCATTTGCCAGCTCTTTGCAGAGCAGCAAAGTGCCAGATCAGGGCCATGGCATGCAGTTGCTGCAGCCCCGATCCGGTAAGGAAAGGGGCAGTGGGATGTCGCCCCATAGAGGCTGTCTGTTTAGCCCCTCAGTTTTTTGGGGTCAATTTTTTAACCTAAATTTCTAGACTTAGGGCCTGTACAGATGATCCCTTTGGGCCATCCTGGACGCAGGGATGGGGAGGGGCAGCCGCACGTCGGCCACCTCTATACCTCCCCAAAGACATCCTGATGCCACGCTCTGTTATGCACGGTGCGCAGCATCAGGATGTCCTTCCGGCGCAGCCTTTTGACGCACTGCACCGGAAGGGGTGCCAAATAGCCACACGGTGGCTCTTAGGCCGCCCTTTTGCTGGCTCTGAAAGGAGTGGCATTTTGCTGCTCTTTTCCGGGTCGGCAAAAGGAGGATTTTGGGGCCAATGCGTCTGGCAGCCTCAGCCCTGATCCTCCGTTTCCCGTCTACATCCCCCCTTATATGAGTATATACAGTATTGATTTAGACTACTTTAAAGATCATGAAAACATTCCTGAAGCTGCCAGAAAAGCTTAATGATTTCTGCTTTACAACTGACTTCAAATTGATTGATTGTACAATGTCAACAACGTTAGAACTGTTTGTCATCATCTGCCAGGTATTCCAAAACTGAAAAAATTGGAAGGTAATGAAATTCTCGCTACCAATTCGTAAAACTGTACAGTATGTCGAGTAAAGAGATGGGTTACTCTTCATTATTATAAAAATAAATGGGCCGTAATTTCACATTTGATGTGCAAATGTGGTTATTAAAGACAATAAATGGAGATTTTAAAGTATTTTAACCATCTCTAAAAATGATTACACTCAACACACCTCTTTTATATACGTACTTTTCATCTGGGCGCAAGACATTGCAGTAGGAGTCAGGACGATTAACGAAGAAACCAGTTTTCTTCACCACATTCTCTGCAATCACATTCAGTCTGTCAAGGACATTGCATAGTTTGCTGCATGGGAATAAAGGGGGGAAATATTCATTTTCCCTTGTTTTAAAATGTCTTCAATTAATTTACTTCCCTTTATATCATATTACAAAATAAAACCCTACTTTGCATGCACTACAGGCAACATACTATTTTGATATAGATTTTAAAAAGGGATAAAAATGTTTGGAATTCACTCACTTCCAATAAAAGCATTACCTCTTAACTATTTATCTCTTTGGCAGAACATAGATTTATAGCAATGTTAAATGAAAAGATCACTAATACTCAGTCACTGTTAGTAATCTAGACATGTTGGATAAGCCATCCAAAAGAAAATGAAGAAAGAGGGACCATGTAGGTTCCTGAAATGCTTTAAAGTCTAAGACAAACAAAGACACTGATTTTCAAACAGTGCCAACTAATACAAATGACTCATAGTCCATTTAGATGACCATAAAGCACCGAATGAAAAATTGTGACCTGGAACTCCATGCCCAAGTTCTACAAAATGTCCACTCTAAAAAAACTGGTCTAGGATTTGTTACAATGACACTAACAATGATCAGGACTCTCCTTGAATGATGCTTTAATTTTTTGGTACTGATTTAGAGGTAAGAAAACACACACCTCTTTGTATACTTGGCCATATCCCAAGGAATATATACAATAGCATGTTCAGGAGGTAAAAACTGATTGAGGTAAGTCACAGCAGCAACAAGCTCTTCACTCAGTATCCTTTCATGTTTTCTTTTTTCACGCTCCTTCAAAGACAAACATTATATAGATATTATATGCACTCAGCAAAAAATAAAAAAAATCTAGTAACAGATATACTAAAATGCTTACTGTAAGACAAGAATAGTCTGTGCTTGAATAAACGCAGGCAACCTTTGGTGAGGGCAATAGCTAAGAATGTTGGAAAATGAGTAATTGTCTCAGACTTGCTCATTTTGTTCAGTTAAAAAGATAAGGTATGGGGGAACCTATTAATATATTTTTGTTTCATATGTATGGAAACAAACATGAAAGTTCACCATGCTTTAGTTCCACTTGTTTTAGGAGGAATATTTCTTTGGTTTTGTTGTTGTTGCTGTTGTGTGCCTTCACGCTGTTTCCGACTTATGGAGACCCTATCATGGGGTTCTCCTGGCAAGATTTTTTCAGAGAAAGTTTGTTTTTGCCTCCCCCTGAGCAAAGAGAACGTCACTTGCCCAAGTTCACCCAGTGGGTTTCAATGGCTGGGTGGGGATTTGAACCCTTGTCTCTAGATCCACAGTCCAATGCTGAAACCACTGAGCCATACTGTGTCCTTTGTGCTAATCTTGTGAAATCTGTGATTTCTTCCTCTTCTGTTTCTGCATTTTCTATAGTAACTTTGAAGTAATAACTATGCTAGAAAAATATGGAACTCTCATATCCAGAACAAAGCAACAAATATTTTGGGAAATCTTGAATGCCGATAATTTGTGGGGCTATTGCAGTGAAAGCACATAGCAGCAAGAGGGTCCAGGAGTTAATTTTTGAAACTGATCTTTCCCCCAAATTCAAGCTTTACTCTGTGTTTTGAAATAAAAATCTTGTTAAAATACATGCCATGGAAGACAGAGTTATACTTTTTTAAAAAAAAGGCTTTAACAATTCTTATCCTTTCTAGATCATCCTAAACAAGCAAATACATTAAAACAAACAAAGATTTCATTGACACTTAAACAATTCTCAATATAAAAATATATATAAATACTTGAATTAGAAATGCATCAGGTCATTAGGAGACTGATTTAACACTGTCATGTGCATAAAAATACTCCTTGCATCTCCATATGTAAGGTTGAGAAGAGAATTAATTTAACATCCTAGTATTGAGCACCTACAGAGAAACACATTGTTAGCCGCACTCCAAGAGCCCTGTGAATAAAAGCACATAATGATTCACGTGGCACAAGCATGTGAGCCTAGATACACATTTCAGTTCTAACTGAATCTAAAAATATAAAAGGCAAAATCATTTTGTTGTCACCTATTTCTATCATTGTTTACAACAGCCTCATGTTCAGCTTCTTAAAGGTACATTTCCATTTTTTTAAAAAAATGTTTACATTTTTATCTAGTAAATCTGCAAAGTTGAACTCTTGTATTTTTACAAACACACATACAGATGAACTGACAGGCTGGAACATTTAATAATAGTGGTGAAGCATTAAAAAGAAATGTTAAAACTTGATAGAGAAAGGTAGCTATTATGAATCACACCAAATCCTTGACTCATTAAGAGGATCAGGAATAAAGAACAGCCTCTTGAAAGTCACACATTTGTTCCTCAGCACACTTTAATGACAGAACCACTGAAAGTATGAGTCACCACATGATATTTTCATGCCAAATAAGTGGAGACCTACAACAGAATTCATACATGGGAGAAGAGCATCCATTCAGACTGACACCCTTTCTATTTGATTCTCCACTCCCCATTCCTGTTTCTTTCTCTTAGAAAGTTAGGTAGCAACATGTGCCCACTAAGCATAGTCTGTCCCCACTGGACTATTTCAAGAAGTTCCTCACTTAGATCTTCTTTTTTTAAAAACCAGATACCAGTAAATATTCTTTATACTTCTGGCTACATCAAGAGGATCTCAGGACCAATACTTGGAGAAGTGAGATTAATCTTAACATATAGAATTGGGACTCTGTGACAAAATATTAACAGTAGGGGACTTGATTTGACCTTGGAGAAGTTTGAAGGGACAATTTAAATAGATTTGATCTTTGTTGCAACACAAAACGAATGATCGAATTTTAAGTGGGAATCCAATCCTATAGACCTGCAACAACTTTCTCCCAGTATGGGGCTGCAAAGACAAGAGAACATGGCCTCTCACTCCAGGTGGAACTGCAGATAAACAGAAACCATGATAAAGAGAAACAGAAGCGACACCACTCCAAAATTTTAAAAGGAGAAAGGCTCCAGCAGAAACCCATTTCATTTGAAGGCAAACTGAGGGCCTTTACAGGCTGCCAGAAATAATGCAGCTTGAGGCCGCTTTAACTGTCTTGGCTCAGTGCTAGGGAATTATGGGAATTGTAGTTTTTTCTGAGGCATTGCACCTTCTCTGTCAGAGGCTCTGGTACCACAATAAACTACAGTTCCCATGATTTCCTAGCACTGAGTCAGGGCAGTTAAAGTGGCCTCAAGCTGCATTATTTCTGGCAGTCTGTAAAGGCCCTGAGACAATTAAGACCTTGCCTATAAGAGAGAGAGGAGGAGAGGTGGGAACCTCAGGACCACAACACACAGAAAAACACTTATTTGAATCCCCACTTTTCTTTCTGTCCTGAAGAAACCCAAGTTGATCCTAGGCAAATACATAGATACCAATACATACAAAACACAGGGAAAGCCTTACTCCCATTTTGAGTTGTTGAGTAAAGCAAAGGACAGGGTGTCGAACACTACAACATACAAAACCTATGTCATTGAATACACATCAAATGTCTACCACAAAGACATATTGAAGCAAAAAGGTAAGTGATTTCTTCATCAGTACTTCCACACTAAACAAGAGTGAAAAGACTAAGCGCTACATACAGCACAACATGTCACTTTGTCAAAGCCACATTCTCTTACTCCGGCAGAAATGTGAAAGACTAGAATAAAACAGAAGGGGGAAAGGGAAAGACTGAGACTAGCAGAAGAATTAAAAAGAAGAGAAAAGGGAGAAGAAGGGTACAGTGAACAGATGAGGTAAAAGAGGAAGGAACTGGCAAAATCACCTCTGAGTATTCCCTGTCTAAAAAACCCTATGGAATCCATGGGGTTGCCATAAGTTGACAGATGAAGACATAGATACAGATACAAATACAAATACAGATACACATATATATATATACACACACACACCAGTTTTGCTAGCATATACATTTTTTTTTTCTTTTATGTTACTGTATCATTTCAGGAAGAAACTACTCCTTCTGGGGGAAATTAAAATGTAGTAAAAATAATAAACCTATACATTTGGTATTGGAATCAATAATGGCAAAACTTGTTCCCATAGTGTTTTAGAATACAAAACATTATTTATTTATTTATATCCCACCTTTTCCCAGTTTGGGATTCAAGGAGCTTACGAGAGTTTAAAAAAAACACACAGCTAAAATGGACAACATGCACAAGTTAAAAATGCAATTAAACGATCAAAAAATTAAGATCTGTTAAATGCATAAGCCATGAAAAGAGCAATGCTGAGTGCATAGTATCTTTGTGCTGACACAACACAAAGTATTTATACAATACTGATTCAATATTAGGTACATGAGAATAATGTATAAATACTTTGCTAATCAGCAAATGAGAGATTCTAGAATGGGGGGGGGACATATAGTTCATTGTGCCACACAAAACTACAGTTCACCACTAGCAACTGGCAGTGATTTAAAGAATCAGCTCACTTTTCACCTAGTTCTGATCTCTTACGTCCAAAACCGACTGCAGAAATAATCCAATTTGAGATCGCTTTAACTGCCCTGGTTCAGTGCTACAGAATCCTGGGAATTGTAATTTATTGTGGCACCAGAGGCCTCTGACAGAGGAGGTTAAATGCCTCACAAAACTACAGTTCCCAGAATTCCCTAGCACTGAGCAAGGGCAGTTAAATGGTTTGAGCCCTAGGTCCAGCCAACTATTGAAATGGGACCCATGAGAACATCCTCAGCCTGGCAGAATTTTTCTGCCTTTTTTCTAGATCCAGATCATGAGGCATCCCAGATGTTGTTGGACTACAGCTGCCACCATACCTCTCAACATAGGCAATGGTGAGGAATTCCCAGAGTTGCAGCTCAACAGTATTTGGAAGGACACATGGTCCATACTGCTGTTTTAGAGCACTGTGGCAGTAATAAATAAATATTTTACCAAGAAGTTCACCTTTCTTTTTATAACTCATTGTGCTTGAACTCAAGCACAGGGAACAGCTGGCTGTATATTCTTCCTTTACTGCACCATGTTCTGTTTTAAAGCATCAGTGAGGAACCTCACATCAGTCATGTGTATCTGTTTAATTTATTTTCACAGCATTTTGAAATAATGGCACTAATGTTTTTTCTCCCAGGAACAGCTGCTAATAAAAGAAGGCAGAGACTGAGCAAGTGCAGCATTAAAATATTCCTATAGTACTTGCATATCCTCTTAGGGGGGTTGCAGACTGCCAGAAAAAGTGCAAATTGAGGCCACTTTTAGGGTTAGGGAATCATGGGAACTGTAGTTTATTGTGGCACTAGAGCTCTCTGACAGAGAAGGCTCAATGTCTCAGAAAAAAAAACAATTCCCATGATTCCCTAGCTCTAACCCTAACCCTAAAAGTGGACTGAATTTGCACTATTTCTGACAGTCTGCAACCCCCCTTAGACAAATGATTTTTTGCAATGCTGGATGGGCTTTTGAGAAGCTTTTCTGAAAGAGGTCTAGAACAAAGAAAGTAAAAACAAATTAACTATTTGGGTCGTGAGGCTAGTTTGATTCCCACTGCAGAGCTTCCTCTGACTAAATTATGTTCTGAAGAGATCAAAAGGCTATTTTGATCAAAAGGCTATAAATTAATGTGGGAAAGAAAGAAAATGCACAATGAACTATATGCTGAATATTACTGTCGAATGATTACCAAAGAAAGCCAGAAAATTCAGATTTTCAACGCACTAATGCAGTAATTTCTGATAAATTTTGTCTTAAGAGCTTCCAGAATTGAGGCTGGCTGAGAATATATTTTTAAATAAGCATTAATATGTAGACACTGAATTATGCTAATTGCTGAGTTTGAGCAGAGGTTTCTAAAATCATAAAAAGTAAAATACTGGCAGAAAGTACCTTAAAATGCAGGATCTATTATCAAAGCAGGAAAAGTGATAGAAGTCCATCTACCATTCAGAGTTGCCAATTGGCTTTCATAAACTATGTCCTTTCCAATGGCTTAAGATTTTTATAACAAAGGAAACCTACAAAAGATCACAGTAAGGAAGAGTGGAAGGGCCATATTTTAGAGGCAGAGCACTTGCTTTGCTGGCAGAAGATCCCAAGGTTAATACTTAATATTTCTAGTTAGGGCTTAGACAGTCTTCTCTTTGAAAATCTGGAAAGCTACAACCTGTAAAAGTAGACAATACTGAAGTAGATGTGCCAATGGTCTTACTTAGTAGTTTCATTTAGATACCTTTTCCTTCTCTTTTCCATGGACTCCTCTAGCTAGACAAGAAAGTGTTACCGTATTTTCCGGCTTATAAGACGACTTTTTAACCCAGGAAAATCTTCTCAAAAGTCGGG